GCGGAAAGAGAGCAAGGTGAAACGAAATGATTTTATTCAGTTACTTCTCGATTCGGAAGTGGATGAGCAGCAGATAAATAGTGTCAACTACGACAAACTTACTATTGATAATGGTATTTTTACACCAACTTGTCATTTCGTATTACAAAAAACTTTTCTATATTTTTACAGATCAACCAGATCAACAATCAATCGATGCTAAAAATGTATCTTTATCATCTTCCAAGAAAAAGACACTAAGTGAAGTGGAAATAGTTGCCCAGTGCATTCTCTTTTTGATCGGAGGGTAAAAACTGAATTTAAAGTATTAAGAAAAAACAAAAATTTAAATTTTATGTAATTTAGCTACGAAACGACTAGTTCAACTCTCTCTCACGCGCTGTACCTGTTGGCAAAAAACAATGAATTTCAAGAACGCTTACACGACGAGATAGTCGAGGCACTGGAGGGACTCAAAGAGAACTCCGAAAAGTACATTGATAAATTATTAAACAACATTCCACTGCTGGAAGCGACCATTAAGGAGGTGCTCCGGCTTTATCCACCAATCTCTGTCATCTTCCGCCGGTCGACGACTGATAACTACGACCTAGGGGGATACATCATTCCAAAGGGCACCAACGTTGAGATGTCCTCATACGCTATTCACAGGTATGAACACATTAGTGAAATGGCAATTGTTGCTGACAATGACAAAATCTTTTTTACTGTCAAAGAAACCCTGAAAACTACACCGACCCTGATGCTTTTAATCCCAAACGTTTTTTGCCCGAAAACGCCCACCTTCTTAAACCGTACACCTACTTGCCATTCGGAGCGGGGCCAAAAAACTGTAAGTGTTAATTAATTAATAATTAATAAATTAAGTTTTATTGTTAATTAAGGTTTTTTGTTTTTTAAAACTGCTGTTATTTTTTCTTAGGCCTGGGCATGCGGTTCGCCTATCAGGAGATTAAGCTGTGTCTAGTCAAGTTGATCTGCCGCTATCGATTTAGCAATACATCAAAAACGCCAGAGGAGTTAACTTTCTCCAAGGGCTCGCCACTTTTAGTCACTGAAACTTTTCCAGTGGGAATTGCAAAAAGATAGGAAAAAACTGTAAATAACTTATTGTCATTCAAGTGCGCGGTCATTTATCTAACTACAAAAGACTAAAAATGACAAACACTTACTGACATTGAATGTAGTGTTTTCCAGCTTTGCCGGGCAATAATTGCATTATTGTCTTCAACAAAGAAGAACTTTCTCGTTATTAATTGAACATTTAAAATAAAAAATGTAAATGCAGTGCAGTGCCAAACATTTCCAGTACTTTACTTTTGTTAGATCCCATAAGTGCTTTACCATACAGCAATTAATCGACTAATTGCAGGTAATAGTTTCTATAGATAAAAAGAAAATCAGACACGCTCAAATGAGCTCAGTATACAAAAATATTAACTTTTATTTAATGAAATCAAGTCAATAAGTTGAACACTTTTTAATAAACTTAAAATTTTGCTTAAAAACTAATTTTTTACAACTTAAGTACATAGTATTAGTTTTGATAAAACTTTTTTTAGTAAACATTTTGTTTTTATAGCTTTTGTGGCATGTGAAATAAACAAACAAATTAAGTAGTTTTTTAAAATCACTAATTAGCGAGGTTAGCCTAATGGATTGACAAAGTCCACTGAGCATAACTACTTATTATTAGCAGTTTGGAAAAGCCGCCCATTTATTTTCTTTTTAGATTGAAAACTTTCAGTGTCACACTTTAAGTAATCGTCATCATTCAGCCGACGACGCTCACTTGACTTCAGCTGCTGTCGCACAATGAAGACAATCATTTTACATTTGACAATTTTTCTTTGCTTCCTTGCCAGTCGTTCTTTTTGCATCGACATTGGGTCAAAGTTTATGCTAAGCAACCCAAAATGTAATGAACAATACCTTCAAGAGACGGATAATGTGGTGGCTAAACTACTCAGCTTTGGCCCTAATGGTCGTCCATTTCCGGAGAATGATAAAGAACTAAAGTCATACTGCCAGTGAGTATTCATTGATTGATGGGTAAGCCAAACTATTATTAAATAATGGCGGCTTTACAAGGGAAACAACACAATTGGCTGACCAGGTGGACCGCTTCTTTCGCGATTGCTACCAGAAGGACATTCGCGACATGGCAAGCGTGATGGTTTACTCACT